ATGCTACCATCACAGGTCAAAGTGAACTGGAGAACAGCAATTAAGAGGTGGTACCACACTCCTCAAAATCTCCAATCTCCTGATCAGAGGCCTTGCTACCAGCTGTAGTTTATTGTATTGAAGTGAGAAAGTGTTTGTATCATAGTTAACAGAATGCATCAGTGTTGTGGTTAATGCATTCAAAATGCATTGAAAGATATATTCAAAAGTGAAATGAGAAAGGAAGATGTTTCTGTCAAACTAGAGAGAATCTATCCCTCAATTTTCAAACAGGGTAGGAATTAACTAGTTGACTGACTGAGAGAGAAACCTAGAATCAGAAGGTATCCTTCCACAAGTGAATGGCCCACGTTCAAAGAAACCAAGGACAAGTCATTAATAAATGTAGCTGGTTCTATAAAGTGTCTGTAATTAATTCATGCAAAAATAATTGGATAAATCCTCTTTTCTTCCTTTCAGCTATGGGTAAATAACAGGATAGACTGGGTTCTATAGCCTTGGATGGCAACTGGTCTACTGCAGAAAGAAATGGCAACCTACTGCAGGAAAAAATCTGCCTCGTCAGTCATGTATCAGAAGATACATGATCACCTAAGCGTGTATCACGCATGACACTGACTGACTGATATTAATTTTATAGTATCAGTCTTATTCTGTCAATAACATTTATCTCAATTCCTGACCACTGACTATCCCTTTTAGCTCCATTTGCAATGCTCAATAAACAGAGTGCTGAAACTTATTTAAGCATTCTAAGGTGAAATTTCTAAAATTTGGCATTTACTGTTTTTTTCCTTTTTGTTGTAAAAAGAAAAATATTTAGCTTGTTAGTGCAGAATATGTCTAAAGCTAAGCAAGAATGGTGGAGTAGTGGTAAAATTATTAATAAGAAAAGCCCAAACCCTGCCTATATATATCAGGTTCATTTGCTCTCTCACAATATATGTAATCCTGAGTGAAAGTTTTGATGTTTAATACCCATACTATCACAGGTTATAGAAAAATTAGTTGAAAAACAATAGATATTTAGTTGAAAGTAATGCAATTGGAAACCAAAAGCTTTATGACACTGAATGGTTAATGATGTCAAGATGTTGATATTTAAGATGTTTGCATTATGACTGACATGTTTATTAGTGTGAATGTCAAAAGAACATATGTATCTTAGTTATTAAATCTCATTTCTTTGGTTGAATAAATTCCTGTTCAGCTGTTTCTTTTTAATCATGATGGCTTCAAGAATTAGGCATCTTTTTGAACAATCAACATAATACGGGGTGCAGTGGAAATACCTCCCACATAACAGTAAGACATTAGTGGCAATTGTGTCTTCATTGAGCTAATATCTTACTATTATGTGGGAGGTATTTCTGTTGCACCCCCTAGTCAAATTGATATATAATTTTCCCTGCAATAAATGAAAGCTCATTTTCAAAAGAAATACATAATTTTTCATTGATTTTAAAAATTACATTATATTGATTTTCATTTATTCTTTTAATAAACACTTGGCCAAAATTCTAGTGCCAAAAACTTATTTTTTTGGCTTTGTCAGTCATTATTCCAAGATGTGCATGTAACAAAGAGAGAGAGAGAGAGAGAAAAGCAACACAAGAAAACCTAGAAGACAATTGGAAAACTTTAATGGATACAGACTGTCCTTTTCAGTTTGTACAGATTTTATATATACAAACAAGCACTGAAAATTTTTTCGACCAGACCAAAAAGAAATTATTCTTATGCTTGGTCATACACTGGGAATTAGTTAAAAATGTACATGTGTCTGTGAAAGTTCAACAGGGCCCACTTCCTAAAATCTAACCAAACACCAGGACTCTTTTTTGAATTTCTTGAACAAACTGAAAAACATTTCAGAACTCAAACCCCACCCTACGTGTGTGTGTGTGTGTGTGTGTGTGTATGAGATGTATGCAAAAGTTACCTGCTTTTTTTTTTTTTTAACTGCAGATTCAACTCTAGTTTTGCTTACACCTAATATATATATATATATATATATATATATATATATATATATATGTGTGTGTGTGTGTCTGTATTATAAAGGTTGCCAGCATTATAATACAAATTATCTTTTAGAATTTGATCAGATAAAGTATTTTAAAGGCTCACCAGCTGTAGGAGATAACAATTTTCCACTTTTGTTTTAAGAATTTATTTTTTAATGTTTATTCTGTAAAACTGTAAATATCCATGTTATTTTTATTTTTTCTAAGAAAAAGGGAAATATACATAAAGTTTATATAAACATAGCTTTTAAGCTGCAAGAGAAATGGTAATTTATGCGATCCTGCAACAGCGCTAGCAGACAAGTTGGTTATCAGCAGCCACAGTAGAAAAGACAGAGCAGAGCAGGAAGAGAGAAGTGAAGCTACACTACACCTGCCATTTATGCAATGAAAGAAATGCAAGTGGGCAAACAAAGACTATATATATATATATATATATATATATAATGAATGAATGAATGAATGAATGAATGAATTAATAAAAAAATAAAAACAAAAATAAAAAAAGAAACAGGTTCAACAAATTATATATAGATATGGCTTTATCCAAATGTTTGGAGAATTTCTTTGACAATGTGAAATGTAGTACAGAATTTTTGCAGCTACTGTCTGTGAGTAGTACCAAAACAACTAGTTTCCACTATTTTCTTTAAAGAAAGTAGAAAATAGTGGAAGCTCAGTGTTGGATAAATAAATTTTTACCTTAGTCAAAACTTAGAACTTTTAACTACACCTACACACATATAAAATATAAGTACATCAATAAGTCATCAGCTTAATGATAAAAAAAGCATTTGTTTTATATAACAAATATCAATTTTTGAACATAATCTTCTTCCTTATCAGTACACAGTTAATGATTTCCTGAAGAGTTCTCAGCCTAACCAAAAGACAGAGATGCAAGCATAAAACACATGCTTTTCTATATATTCAGCCTGCATCTCAACAAACTTAGAACGTTTCCTAAAGTTTCTCTAACTCTTCCTAAAGAAATTCTAATTTGTATGATTAATGAAATATTGACTTTGCTAAGTGGATTGAACTGAGAACTTTTGTAAACCTAATCGTAATTCAGAATGTAAATTAATCACAAAGATTGAACCATAAATATTCCAAGTTAAGATTCAGCTTGTAACTACTTACCAGGCCGTTTACTTATTCATCCTCCCTCTTTGAGAGGGTGTGTGTGTGTGTGTGTGTGTATATATATTTTAAATGTTATTTTACATCTGGCATTGTTGAGAATTTACAAAGTCTGAGCCAAGATTATAATGACATACAGTTCCCTTATATTAATCTAATCCTTCCATTATGACAGAAGTTTTTTTTCATCATTTCCTGTGAAAATGTGTATAGCAGTGTGTGTGCATGTGTCGTATAATCTCACAGGCTGTTTTTTTTTTTTTTTTAAGATAAAACGATAACACATCCAGTTTTAATGTAATCATAATAACTGTTTTTTTTACAATAGCTATTGAATATAAACCTAATAGTTTTTAAGCAAGCCAACATTTGATTAAAACGCTGACAAATAGTTACCATCAATGATTTGCAAACAAAAACATTGTGGATGAAAAAAAAAGTCCTTCCATACAATTAATTTTAAAAATAACACGTTTCTAATTCTCTCAGAATATCATTAATGAACTTGACATACATTTATACCAACTGAGTTTCACTTTGTATTCAATTTTGCTCGGAGAGAATTCCAAGGGAAATAACTTTCATCCTTTATAAACTATGATAAAAAAATCTTCAATATGGAATATTCATATCATTTTTTCTATTAAGAACATGCAACAAATAAATGAGTTGCTCTAATTTTACTAAGGACAAAAATTGTCTGTGATAAAATGGAATACTTTGTTTCATTAGTGAACAGACCCATTTTAAAAGTTCCTTTGTGCTTTTAAAAACATCACTTAAATTTTTAGTCTCTTTAAATATTTTCACATGTGAAAAAAAATTATTTTTATTAGTCCTTTTAATTTTTGATAAAGCCATACATTTCATTAATTATGATTTCAATAAATAGTTTTACAAAGAGAAACAACTGTTAACCTGTGAAAGCTGTCTAGAGAAATTTTCAATGCCACCAGCAATTTCACAAAATGATCCTAAGTTTTCTTAGATGAAACTCATAGATCTTTTGTTGCAGAGAGGCTTTCTTTGTTTTCAAGCTGAGATCTACTAACTTTCAAGATCTATATTTCCTCTGGAAGCCAGATTACCAGCACTTGATATGCTGCTGGTAGAGCTACGTGAGCTTCTAGCTAACAGAAAATTAAATCTAACCATATAGAGTTACTCTTTATTTTAGCAACTGAGATGAATCAAGTAATGAATTAAGAGAAATACTGGATAAAAGATTTAATGGTTGATAATGTTGTACCTAATAAAAAAACAACATTAATTTTCAAATTTTCAAGTGAGGCTCAGGCAGAAAAATAAGTCTCATAATGGTTGTTACATTTAACATGAGAACGTAACAACTATTATGGGATAGATGTAGTAGTAAATAAGTTAATCAAAAGTTTAACCCCACTTTAGCACAAACAATATTTTTCTTTATATCAATGTTAGATTTTTAATAAGCACTACTTTTAAAATCAAACGTAATGTTCAACACAAAGTTTTTTGTTTTCTTTTTTTTTAGAAGTGGGACAAAAATATGTCCTACAGTATTATGTAGCAAATAAGCAAGATTATCTTACAAAAATTAACAATATTATTAACAGATATTTTTGAGACACACACACACACACACACACACACACACATACATATGCAGCATAAAAAATAAAAAAAGAAAAGGTGGCCAGGGAAGTTTGGTTTAAGACAAAAGATAAATTTCAATATCATTGATCCATGTGAAAGTCATTCAAGAATAAAACTAAGTGAAATGGAAATTGTCAGTTAAAAAAAAAAAAGAAAAAAAAAAAGAATGCATTTCAAATAACAAAAAAGACATACCTTCTTCATCACTTGGTAAAGACCCTACTTCATCTTCATCATTTCCATCTATATTGTCCCTTAAAAAAAAGAAAAACAAAAAGAAAAAGATTTTAAAATGTTCATTTGATGAAATATACACTAGAGTCATTATGAAAACAAATAAAAATTAAGCAAAATATAAAATATGCCCAAAAAATCCACTAAAAGTCTCAACAAGATAAAAAGTCTCAACTAAGATGAAAGAAAAAAAGATTAGAGAGATCTTTTGCAAGAAATGCTAATCCTAAAAGAAACTGATGAAATATTTTAGATACAATGTGCATCAGCAACTTCTATAAATATACTTTTAATTTTCCAGGTTTGATATTTCAGTTGTTCATATTTTCTTTACGAGATGAGAAAATTTATTCCTGTCATTGGTAAATATGATTTTGACAGAACCCAATAAACATTCCAGGATTTAAAAAAAAAGAATTACCATGGATATACTTTAATATTTTTTGCAAGTTTTGGATCTTCTTACTTGTAAATTGGATAATGGCACAAAACAAGCTTGTGTGAGTTACTTTTGGAATGAAAAGCTATTCTGAAATGAACAAGAGCACTTATCCACACTAAACCAAAGATATATTTCATATACATTCTTTTAGTTGTTTTATATAGGTTAATTTCAAATTGAAACATTCCAAAACCATATAAATGCACATCATCAGAGATCACAAGATGATAGACAATGGGAAAATAAACACTCTTAGAAATGGAACCAATTTGCCTCTATTCTTGTTACCACCTGTAGCAAATCACTGAAACTATTTGGACACATAAGATCAAGTACAATGTTGGCTAAATTGTTACTTGAGGGTATGTTGCCTGGTAAAAAAAAATAGCAGAAGACCAAAATAGAGGTGGAGGGGTAACATAATTCCAAGGCCAACAACTAATGGGACTGAATAAGCTTGATCAAGACTAATAAATAATGTGAAGTCAGTTTAGTTAGTTTGCAATCTGTCAAAGGTAATAAAACAATATTTTGAAGAAGCTGAAGTATTTCATCAATATGTTATCATACAAAACTATTCTGGTCTTGAGCAGTTAAGGTTCAAGAAAACTTGAATTTTCTTAAAAATTCAAATCCTACCCTTAAAAATAAAAGTTTAAGAAATAAAATTTGAGTTTAAGTTTTAAATATATAATAGCTAAAAATATAATTAATACCATTGCTGTAAATTCTACAGAGGCTGAAAGAGGGTTTTCTGTAATGAGCATAATTTATTCTTACAAAAGAAATCATCTTGAAGTTAAAAATGTGGCAAATTTTCTAGTCATAAATTTGATGGTTCTTCCATTGTATCTTTGTGACTGCAGCAATTCAGTTTGAATGTGGCTAAGAAACCATAACACATCTGATGACACTAGATTAAAAAAGCATCATACTTCTGAACAGAAATATGAAAAGAACAGAATTTCAGTCTGGAAATATCTTAATAAATAAATGTTTACTATTAAACTATAAAAATGGTTTAATTCTTTTTTATAGAATAAAGGGATTTGTTTCCATTCTCAGATTGAAGAAAAAAATAAGCAGAATAGGTTTCTAAAGATTACTTGCCTTTATAGAACCAGTTCTTGGAAATTTGGGATGCCATTATTGGATAAAGCACTTTGGCTAAAACAATTCTAACAAAAATAAACAATACTGTTTACAAAAATAAGAATCAATAACGTTTATAAATTTGAAAATGAGAAAATGTTTACCTGCTGTCAACAATCCATTTCTCATATACTTCACCACCATCATTGACGAAGATATCTTCTTGATGTATGATGATGGTTTTAATGAGATCATTAACATTACTTTGATAGCTCACTTGGTCCCTGTCAGGGGGGATCGGCAGCAATGTTGGTCCAAAGCAGATAGCAAGATTATATGGGTCCATCATATTCTCATCGCTGTACTCTGACAAACTTAAAAAAAAAAAAAAAAAAAAAGGTTTTCAATTCATGCCAATTAATAATGGTCAAGTAACAATGAGATTTTGTAATAAGTCACAATAAAAGGCAACCCAAGTCAAAAATGATTAATTACAATAGATAAGAGTTTCTATAAGAAGTTTGAATACTCTTATATCTTATACGATAAATGTAATAAAAACCAACAGAAATACTCATCAGGAATTATTAATGCTTGACAATGCTTCATCTATTAATATTATGTCTCATAAGAAAAAAATAAAATGTTTGGAAAAGAACTATATGGCTAAATTTAGAGGATTTCTTTTGGTTAGTTTTTGTAGCCTAATTTGTAAGGTGCTGTAAGATTCTCAAAAATGGGTGCAAATTCAAAATTTCCCAAATTTTCAGTGTTTTCAATCTGTATTGTTTGTTAATCATCATAAAATGATGAAACGAGATAGAAATTGTAATAAAAAGCAACTGAAATTAAGTTGAAGGATACCCTAATCAAAATGAATTGATAATGCTTCATCTAAGAAATTCAACGTTTATAACACCTAATCAGTCAATGTAAAAACAGTTTAAGAGTTGTAACAAGCAAAATAAATAAAATGAAAGCAATAATCAAATATTAATATTAAATGACAATGTTTCATCAAATAACTTTGAATAGTGAGGTTCTTTACTTTCTGGTAAAATGGTTTTGAAAGATGTGCCAAATGTCTGGCAAGGTGCAGGAAATTAATCAATGTATTCAAATAACCAGAACTGGCAATATTTAACTGAGCTGCTCAAAAAAAAAAAAAAAAAAAAAAAAAAACAGGAGAATGCTTCACGGAATAATTAACATTCATTAGACTTTTCTCTCTTCCCCACATTTGTCAGAATAAAAGAATATTGATTTTAATAAATTTAGAGGGGGTGGGTCCTGTTCATGATATAAATACAATGTCAAATTGATCCCTGACTTTTTAAATAGTTAACTGTACTTTGTTTTTATTTACAAATGCCAATAATTGCACACTGCTGATGTTGTCCTTTATTAAGCAAATATATCAAAACTTTTATTCATTCTATTGAGACAATACACTGATATTGCAAATTGCGGCAATAAGAGAAAGAATGTGTGGTGAAATGATAATCAGTTTTGTATTTTAGAAAAGGTTGCATTTATACTGGAAAAGAACAGGCAAGGCTACAACACATCATTGTTTAGTAATTTTAGTATTAATCCTATAGAGTTTTATAATTTTCTTTCTTTTTTATAAATTGCTTGCAGATGCATTTTATGATAGATGTGCCAGGTTTGTTGAAAACTTTACCAATAACCAATAAAAATGACCATATATAAACATAGACAAAATATTTTATACTTTGCAAAAATCTGATACCCCTTAGTTGCTGTATAAAGATAGTCTAGTCAGTCTTTTCATGTGTGACTACTATGATGTTTCTTACTGCATATGGATTAAACCTAATGTTGGATGGATTGCTTATCACTATTTCCTTTAAGCACTTTACAGTATAGAAATAAAAAAAAGTTCCTTCTATCTCTCATCTATCGGTGTTAATTAACCATTTGCTTTCCTAATGTCTCTCCATCATTCATACACGTGATCTGACACCAGAAAAAGATAGTACCAGTACTTGGAGGATTTATTGCTTGTTATGAAATATACAATATGTGTACTTACTGATTGAGGAACGCAAAGAGATATCTCATGACAATAAAGATGGAACGTGGTAAGGTGGTTATTAACTCCTTTATTTTGTCAATTCGGGTTTGGGCCTCGTCGACTCCTAAAAAGAGAAATAAATTATTAAGAAAAGCAAAATATAACCCCCCCCAAATATAATAAAAGGGCTGAACTCACTGACTTTATCAAATAAGGAAACTAGCTAGTTGAATCTTATATTACAAATTCAATAACCATGTCTTATCCACAATTTTATTGTCTATTTTGTTTCACATCTATTACAGCTTTTTCCAAACTCATTTGTTTCTTGGAATTAATCTACCCATAATTTACAGAATGTTTACTTTTTTTATATTGTTAATAAATAATTCATTTTTTTGTTATCTTGTCCAGGCTAAAAGAGGTTCTGAACTATTACATCTGTAATTTATAGCCTATGTCAAAATGAAGAATTGGAAAACAAAATCAGTATATGTCAAATGAAAATTTAACCTAAAACATAGTTATTAAATCTTTTTATGAAAGTGTAGGATTTTGAAGTCAAGAGTTTGAAATCTAAAAGAATTAAGAAAAAAAAAAAGAAAAAGTCAAAGGATTAAAATTCACCAGCAAATATTTTTAAGAGAGAAATTAAAAAATACTCACTGGTGCAATTGATTAACTCGTCAAATAAATGCAGAGGAAAAAGGGGCTCACGTAGTTCCCTAAAATAGAGTTTGAGCACCCCTGCCACAGAGTTGATGTCACTGGCATCCACCATGTCAATTAAGGGGTCTTCACCTATAAATCAAACCGCAATAATAGCAATGATAAAAATGTGTGTGTGTGTGTGTGTATATATATATATAACACAGCTGGTAATTAACAATGTTTTTCCTACCTACCTAAACGACCACTAGGTTAGACTATTTCTTTCTAAAGTAACTAATAGTGATACTGAACACACAGATAACATTACCATCTTCTACAAAAGCCAAATACATGTCAACTATAAGCAAGACAAATTTTCTCTTAGAAATATCGTAAAGAAATACACAACCCAGTTGACCTGAACAAGAAAAGTAGATTAAAATTATCTATCACAAAAAAAGAAAAAAAAAAAAAAGAAGTAAAACAGCTAATCTTATTCTCAAAAATAACGACACACCTGCAAAATCAAAACTACAAAGAACCAACATTATTTACGAGTTCAAATGCTCAAGGAACTGTTTCTGATCAAACCAAACTCATAATTATATTGGTCATACTACTACATGCCTATCTCGATGACTTATATTACACCTAACTGACCATAGATCAATTAGGACTCATTCAAACACACATAAAAATCTACTAAACTCCATCTGAAACATACTAGTTGAAAATACAAGTAAAATAGCTTCATCCACATGTAAAAATAGATTAAAAATAATAGAAGTCCTAATAATAAAAAGGAAAAACCAACACTCAGTAACATCAACTACAAAGCTTAATTGCAATACCTTGTCAGTCATCTTTAATGAAACATATATAAAAGAGGGATTGCTGTCTATATATGGTCTTTTGTGATTTTTGTAAATAAGTGGTTGTTTTGTTGATGACTTTTATAATTACTTCATTATTAAAATAAAGCCATTTTATGCCCTGAAAGTGGTAAGTATCTTAGGATTTAGATCACAGCTCTGGAGTAAAGCGATTTAAGCAATGTATAAAGGAAGGTAAGCAATGCTGACATTTTTAAACAGTATATCTTGAAACACAAATATAATATAACATTTTTTTTTTTTAAATAAAAGATTACCAGAATGTTTAAATCTTTCAAACTACTTTATAACAATTTCACTAGTAGCATTTTATAGCCAATGCAAATCTCTCAAAGAAATGACTACATTTTTTTTATTTGGTGCAAAACTAAAGATCTTGGCACACCCAATGCAGGGTATTATTATTTGTGTTTGTATATGTGAACTCATTCACTTTTGGAGACAATTGATTAGAACATTATGTTGAAATTCAATTTAATGTATTTAAAAATAGCTTTTAAAAATGGAATAATTTTCATCATGATGAAAAAAAAGAAGAAAAAGAAACAGCTAATTAAATTTTTTATTAGAAAATCTTACTGCAAAGAACTATTTCCTTTCGAATGACAGTAATTTTAAAGTTAATGTAAATCTGACAAAATCTTTTCAAACAATATGTGGAGCACTACATTAAACTTGACCTGTGCCAAATTTGCCATTGTAGCAAGGCAAATAAACACTGTCATATCTAAATTAAGATTTTAAATATGAAAGGTAATTTAAAATAGCAACAATGTGTTCATCTTGTCTATTTTTTGTACATCTGCATGTTGAGAGCAATTCTTCAAACTGAAAAAAAAAAAACAAAAAAAAACTGGTGTTATATAGCTCTCCCAGTCACAGACCCATGCTGACTATTGGCTAATACCTACCCAGTATTGTTCATATGCAAATAGTCAGCGCCACCTACTCTAAGTAGAAGGTCTTCTCTCAACAGCCCATTGTGGAAAGGGACGCAACTGGTGGTTACAGCACCACATACAACCAACTCAGAGTTTTTTTATTGGGCTGACCTGATTCTCTGTTACAAGCAAGTTACAAAGCACTTATATCAATTAACTACTTTAATTATAATGATTACTTTGTTACTTATATAAATGTAAAAACAGTCTATAGGTGACTATAAAATAAGTGGCTATAAAAAGGCAATGTTGATTATTTATGGCTAATTTGTTTAAATAATGCACTGACTATTGTTTGCATCACGTGGTAATAATTCTAAATAAAATGATACACTACAATAATCATTTTAAGTTCTCCGAATATTGGTGATACTTAAAATTGTTCACTTTGAACTAAAGTCCTTACAAATTTTCTAACCTAATGAAAAACACTGATTTACAAAAGTATTAACAACTAAAAAAATAAAATGTAGTTGAAATAAAAATCACTTAATGATAGTTAAAATGTAAAGAAATGAGGAGTGGATGGTTGTTTTAATCAGGAGTCATTCTTGGAATTTTAATATTCTAAATGTGCATAACTGGTTATCAATTGATTAAATTATTAGGATATATATATATATATATATATATATATATTTGAAACTTACAATAATTGCCCAATGTCATTTCATATATTTACTAGCATTTTCATCTTTGGTTTGCAGATAAAGAAATTGATTTCCAAATTCTACTAATCATTCAGTCGACTACTTTGATGTCGGCTTTCAGCTGAAGAATTTCTTAACATTCTTATTAAATGATTTCAACCAAAGAACTTATTGAAAATCTGGATACAAGCATTTAAATCTAAATATACATAAATCCAAATATTTTTGAAAAGAAATTAAATTCATTTTTTTTCAGTTGAAAACTATATTTTTTTCTATTCTAAGCAGAGTAAATTCAAATGAAAATTTACCTTTTTCAAAACAACTTTTAAATTCATTTATTTCAACTTGCGATCCGGATACCCTGAATATACCCTGATGATGCATCCCTGCAAGAAAAAAAAAATTACTTTATTAAAAACATTTAATTTATTGTTTACATGTAAATCAATCCTCAAGCGACAGTCTGTTTCATACTTTATGCAATTTACATATGCTCTATCACTGATATTGAACACTTTAACCCATAAACATAGAATAACTTAAAACTAACTAACTAACTATATATATATATATATATATATATATATATTACACACACACACACAGACAGACAGACAGAGGGTGTAATGGATAAATTGGCAAAAATGAAAATAACATTGATATTGCATATATATTTACCAAAATGGCACAAAATTATCTTGGAATACTATAGAGTAAATTTATTCAATAAAATTGCTATTGGCTTTAACCATGGCCACCAGACGACTTCAGAATCTCCTGCAACTGTTCTGGACAGGCTCCTTGTTTAAGTTGGAGAATGCTGCCATAATCCTTGCCTTCATCTTTGGTGTTACAAGAAGCTTTATTTATCTCTCACTCAACTGTGCTCCACACATTATAATCAAAGGGTTTTGCAGTCTGGGGAGTTAGGTGGCCAGATGTAAGGAGTGATATAGTCAAACAAATTGTCTGACAGCCATGTCTGGGTTCTTCTGCTTGTGTTGCATGGTGGAGAATCCTATTGCCAGGCATAGGATTTTCTAGCAGCCATCCTCTTTACCCAAGGCAGCACTACCTCTTCAAGGCATTTGATGTAGGCTACCATGTTGAGTGAGGCCCTCACCAACAAATTTGGGAGTACTTTTCTTATCAGAATGAGTTTTCAAAGCTGCTGAGCTATTGTAAGACTAGACTCATCCACCTCTTTCCAAATCCTATGCACTGACTGTCCTCAGATTGATAACCAATGAAATGTTTGTATTGGAGCTTTTGTTGCAAATGCAAAGCAGTACAAATTTCTGGTGGAGTGAATTGTGTCATGGTGTTCTTTTTCTCACAGACAGTGCCCAACTAACCCTACATCAACAAAAACAAACAACACACATGTGTGAAATTAAAAATATAAAATAGCAACAATTTATCCATTGCACCCTGCCTGTATGTATGTGTTTATATATAAAATATAATCTTAAGGTATAATATTATATGTTACTAATAGTAAAATCATATATATATATATATATATATGACAGAAAAGTAAAAATTAAATAAAAAGCTTAATTGCAGTACCCTGCCTGTCATCTTTAATGAAACATGTATAAAAGAGGGATTGCTGCCTAAATACACAATAGGGAGAGAAAAATTTTCACAGAAAAGAATTTTACTATTAGGAACATATAAATTATTTTAAGTTTAACTTTTTATGTAACCTGTAATATTATTGGTTGGATTTAGTAAATATTTTATTGAAATTTTCATGCACTCGGATATGCAGATGCTGAAAATACTAAAAGCGCGTGCATACACACACACACACACACACACACACACACACACACACACACACATTAGCTTAAAAGCTGCCCTATTGGGCAGCATTTAAGCTAGCTCCTGCAGAGGGCTCTTGATTAGGCCTTCATCACAATAAGTAGTGATGGGCAACAATAAATTACAGAAGAACTCAAAATTGATTAATGCATTTAAGTATTGCATTTATATTTTAGCTTACCTTTTAAAAGTTCAATGATAATTCTTATGTATATAGGTCCTTACTTTCTGCACAAACAATTATTTTTATTTCATGGGTGACTTTCACTGGATTTCACAATTAATATTGATTATTCCCAAATTTATTTTCAAATTATAAAAATTGTTATTGTACAAAAAAAATCCCCAAAAGAATCATCAAAAACAATTGCAGTAATGAAAACTTGGGAATCCAAAGTTTCAGGATTTCGGTTCCATATCTGGCCCAGAATGTTTTTAATTTGCTCACAGAGTTGGCATGATTCCAAAATAACATATGTTAGGCTATGGTATCTAGGAGTAAATTTGAAAGCACAGACAATTTTATTTTGAAACAGTGTAATTTGATAACAGTAATTTTTTTTTTTTATTTGAACATGAGCTATTATTGAAAGTTAGAGAATTGTGTCCCTTTAATTGTTTTAATCAGTAGGAGATGGCAGAATCCAAAAACAATTGCAGTAATGAAAACTTGGGAATCCAAAATTTCAGGATTGCAGAACTTGATTCAGCCCAGAATGTTTTTAATTTGCACACGGAGTTAGCCTAAGTCCAAAATGGTATGATAGGTTAGGCTACAACCTGTAGGAGTATATTTCAACCCAGTATATATAGGAAAGGTTTGGGCTTTTCTTATTACTACCAACTGAACGTACCAACACTATCACTTTTATATTTGCTTTAGTAATTTTAGACACTAAAACTAAATACTTCTTACAGTTGATGGGAAGTAGATGTTAGAATAATTTTATCAAATCACAATTTTCTTAGCTAAAGTTTCAGTACACAATTGAGATTTAGGCAAAAGGGGATTGTTAGTGAACAGGAATCTCACTGACAGAATTATACACACCAGGTTTATGACTTTTTGTAAAATAATTGATTTCCTAGACCATAATTTGATGAACTTTTGTTTAAGAATAATGAAGAAAGGTTTAATTCAGTTTATTTTTAAATAAATGTCACCCCCAACACAAATGTCTAAAATCGTATATAAGTATAGTAGTATTTTGATTTTCTGGAGTCTTCTAGAACTTGTTTTTTGTTTATTTGTAAGTTTGAGCATTATGCTATAGCTATAAACTATTAAATGCATTAAAAATATATAATTACTAGCCAATTACATCATTAGCAAATTGAAAAATAAAGCTTCTGAAATATTTTGACTTTTTATCCTTATTGCATATATGGTAAAATTCAATTTTCAGTTTAGGGGTGAACTTTTTGAAGAACTAAAATGAATTAATGCATTTTTTGTTATTTTTGAACAAAAGTTCATCAATTTATGACACAGGAACATAGGGGTTATAAAAAAGTCATAACCCTAATACACAAACATTTCATACATGATAATGATATACGACATGAAGATTGTCTTCAAGCATGAAAGATTGCTGCTTGTGTGTGTGTGTGTGTGTTTGTATATATATATATATATATATATATATATATATATATATATATATTTTCTTGTGTGAGAACTATGATTAAAAGCTCTTTAGATATTTCAAGCATAATTCAGTGGGTTTTGTTTCTTACTGAAAAGTTATATAGATTACTGTCATTTGTAGGTGAATATAAACTTAGGTTTTCCTACCCTCTTGAACCTCATAAGCAAACAACAAACCTGTTTTGATCACTCACCGTGTAAATTTATGACACGAATGCAACTTCGAATGATGAGTGGAATTTCTTGTCCTGTATTCTGTTGATAAAAAAATAAAAGTCAACATTATTAAGATAAATATTAAAAACATACACAAAAATTCCCCAAAAGTCAGCAATTGTTTCACACACCAGAAATTAATATTAAATACTTTAATAATAACGATAATATCATAAAAGAATATCCTGTTTGGGACAAAATTTTGCACAAATGAACAGACTTGAATGATGACCCTTAAGTTGATGTGAATTTCATGTGATTTAGATTAACAGATTATCCTGTTAAAGAGATATGTAACTGATTAAAAACTGCTTCTAGCTATTTTAATTGGTATTAACTGACATTTAATTCAATCTGATAATGTGTATAAAATGACCAAAAGGAACACCAAATTCTTATCCTATTTTACCAGTCAAAGATGGATAGATTTATATTTCAATAATATTTCCAATAAACTATTTTGCTAAATTTTTTCCTGAAAATTATTTCCAGGTACAATGATTGTGAATGCTTTTATGGACCATTGTTAACAATATTAAAGGTTGTAGTTTGAAATGTGTTTTTTTTTTCTTCTTTTAAATCACTTATGCCAAAGGTTCTTTTTCTTTTTTTCTTAGAAAGCATCCCGTTCTAAAACACACTCACATTCCTATTCTTTCTCACTGTTTCTTTCCCTCTTGGTAACTCCTTGAATCCTTGATCATAATTATAAAAAATTGGAAAATTAAAGCAAAATGCTTTCTGAAGTATAAATAGATATAAATAGTTAATTCTTTATAAAATATTAAAATAATAAAAATAAAATAATTGCATTGTAGTTGGTTCACTACTTATCTTTAATAAGAGTCACTTACATCAATATATTCTTCCAAGCTGCCTCCAAATAACTTGGGTTGCCCTACTGGGGGTGTTCGTCCAATTCGTCGCTTACGGGGTTTCTGGGGTAATGTTGGGGGCCTGAAAATAAGATAAAAGTTTTTATAAAAACTCAAAAACTAACTTCTGCTGCCATTTTGAAGATCTTGGATTGGTCTTTTACTGTTATAAACAAAAAATAGAGAGAAAGAAAAAAGAAAGAAAGCAACCCAGCTTCTTTCTACATCGACTATACATTTGATCAACTAAAATATGGTTAAAAAAAATGTCTAGTAATCTAAGACCCTCTTGGAAGTTTCAACCCATTATAAAATGTAACAAAAAAATGAAAATCAAAACTAAAAATATAATTAAAATTATTTTGTATTAATATCAATGAGAAAAATAATTAAATTATATTTTAACCTTCAATTAAAATTAAATATTAATATGGGTTCAATTTTGACAATATAAAATGTTTTAAAAGTTAGTAATTATATTGAATACAAACTGATTGTCTCCCTTTACTATTATGCTTACTATTAGCAAGCCAGTCTACAACTGCATTCACTCGCTCTCTAGTAACCCTGATAGAGAAAAACAAAGAGCAAAACCTACAGTAGACAAAATTTAAAGCAGATAAACATGAATAATAACAGTAAGGTGTGTATGTGACAGGCAGCCATTGTGGAAAGGCTAACTCACTATAAATACATTGAAATACTGTCATCAAATAGAGGCATCAAATGATGCCTACGGACAAGCGATAAAACCTATCAAGGAATGAATCATAAACATCTCAGAAGTTTAGGTTATTGAAAAGCGGTAGTAGAATAAAAGAAATGTCCAAACTCACCGAGTCATGGTTCCAGAATTAGTTATAACTTCTCCAGTCGATTTCTGAATTGCATTGTGTTTGGATTGTAATCTTGCAAGTTGGTTACAACTCAATGTATATTCCTTAAATTTCTGCAACAGGATAAAAAAAAAAAACAAAAAAAAAACAAACAAACATTAGAAGGTCCAGCTCTGTGCATATAGATAAAAAAATTCAGAAAAGCAAATTTTCCTTCATTTGATAATGAGAACAAATTTTTTTTTTAATTCTTTAGTAACTTAAAAATTTAACATTTTTTATAAGTAAAAATTCATATTTCAAACTGCATTTTTTACTGATTTAATGTTACTAATCTACTTGTTATAATGGGCATTTGGTTGCAAAGAAAAGGAACAAATAAGGATTATGATTTCAACAATGAATATTGTTCAAAATTAAGAATATTTACATAACTGTGTGAAAAGTGGCAAAAATTGTTCATGTATGGTTCCTTAGTGGATGTTGGTAAGGAAAGCAATTAGGAGTTGACAGATTTCTTGGGTGGGTTGGTTGGTTGAGGTCAGAATTGGGATCAGGAGATAGGAGTGGATTAGTAAAGCCAAGTGTAGCATCATTGGGGATGTATGCCTTTCTTCAGGATTGAAATCAACACCAGTGAGGTGTTTGATGGTTTGGTGGTCATGTAATGAGGGCAAAATGTTGAAGCTGAACTGCCTGCCATTGGTAAGAAGTGCTATTTATAAACCTTTGGTTTAATAGATGCAGGCTTTCAGGGACATCTTTTTTTTTTTTTGGCAGTAATGTTCATGATTAGCTATTGCATTTATGGATTCTGTGCAGAAGATGACATTTTTATTTTGTGTTTTGCTTTCTTAGTGCTCCCATTCGACCAACATTTGTGGTGAAATGTATTTGTGAACCAAATAGAGATCTTTTTTAAATAGTATAATATACTGAAATTAATAAAATGTTTATCAGTGACTAGTATTTATTGTATGTGGGTTGGTTTAAATTAATTTCATAATCATATTTTGTTTTATCCCAAAGTTTTGGCTGTGGATCCACTATCTATTGTATTCTGGAATATTGAATCTTGCCCAAGGAGACATTTGTTTATTGAAGTCACACACATACAGATGAAGTCCAATGCCTGATCCTGCATATTCTTGTGATCATTTTCTCATGACCTCTGTGTTCAACTTGTCATACTTTAATAAATTTATTGAAATTAGCTGGTGCTCCTATCTCCTACTTAGGTGTGACTGCCACTATATGCTTGTGTTCCTATGCCCCTGGTACCATAAGTTCCTTTTTGTTTTAATTTCTGGGATGAAGCATTATCATTTCTTACAATCAGAGATTTTTGTTATCACAACCTTTTGGCCAGCCAGCCAGCCTTCATGTATCTTTTAATCTGGGGGACCTTTGGAGAATTTCAAACTGAACCCTTTATTTAATCTATGATTTGATTGTTGGGTTTAAAAGTATATCAACCTTCATTAGTTCATTTCATGCCTAATAAGATTTGATTGGGCATCATGTTTTGTGGTGTATTAAATTTAATTTGCCAATAACATTTTAGTATCATTTAATTGAAAATGATATCCTCTGTAAAGGAATTCATTTAAAGTTAATGATTTTGGTATGAAGTTCAGTTGAAGATTATTTTATTTTCTTCATTTACTTATTTGCCAATATTTGTTATTGTTTAAATTTTTGAATACATCTTGGTTTCCTTAAGAAATTTAATTATTTTATTTGCATCAATCGTGTTGCAGAGTTTGTTCATATTGTTTGCCTGATAATACTTTTCACAGACCAGACTTAAATCTATACATTTTATAAATATGTGTTCCACTGTAGCACAAAGGTGGATCTTTCTTTTTTAGTATGTAGCTGTGGGTAATAAAAGTGTGGCCGATTTGAAGTTGTACTTATTTAATCTGAGGGTAGATTCTTTTTGTTTTACTGTCCATATCTCCAGATGTTGCACCTGTTCTTTCTCTGCTCAGTATCAAGAGGAGTGGCTGAGGAAACATTTCAAAATCTATGCATTTAAACTCTTAATTAAATGAAATTTTCAATTTTTGTATGGTAATCCTTTTCCTAATTAAGTATAAAGCAACTTTATTGTAAATTTGATGAACTCCTTTTTTGAGGAGGTGACATGATAAACTTGCTTTGTTCAGGAAACACACTCTGATGTTTAAATTAAATTTTACTTGATAAAATGCAAAGCCATTTATAAATCAATTAGAAACTTACATTAAGGTAGTAAGATTCCGTTTCTAAACGATCAGCTCTGCGTTTAGCTGCTTCGTGGGGCGATTTGGGAGGTGGGGGGTTTTCTGAGAGGAACAGCAAAGTTACATCATGGTCGTTAACTGTAATCATTTCCATCAGGGTCTTTTCGGCAGCTTCTAATGTCTTCCAAATCTGGAAAATAAAGAACACACAAGAACACTTGTAAAATGACTGAAGTGAAATTATAAACTGAAATTACAAGTTTCAGAAAGCAAGTATTAATTTTTAACAATTATTAGCACAGAAAGTTGAACTGCCAAGCAGAGTTCAAATCCCATCTCATCCATTGCATTCACTTTCACACAAATGTCATTAGAAAAAGTAAAAACCCATCTTTCTCGCCATTCTGGGTTAAATAGTAGAGTAGACAGGGCTTTCTAGTCTTGGGTGGCAACCATGCCGTTAAGGACAACTCTGAATTCAAAACCATGGAGAAGACAGTGAGAAACCACTCCACTATCTTTCCCAAGAAGACATTGCAATTTGTGGAAAACCATGTGTGATTATTGATGCTCTGAAAAGGGCATGACATTAAAAAGAAAAAAAAAATTTCTGTTGCATTTTATTCTTACTCCCAGATTATGATTCCATAAACATTAATATATATTTCACAAAAAAGAAAATACTAATTACTACTAATAATATTAGTACACTAAATATTACTAATGTCAGGCCATGGACTGATTAATTCTTCCTTGTCTATGCAGGAAATCTTCATCTAAGCCCAATTAAGAAGCTAGAATTTCAAATGTTGATTTTCTAGCAGACAGGTTGAAATCACTTGAAAAGATGAGTAACAGTCTTCCTTCGCATAACCTTGTCAAGACAAGAATTAAAAACTAAACTAATAATCAAAAATTTTATTAATTTAATGTTTAGTAATCAGATATTGGAAAATAAAGTTTTATTTTGTCCAATTATTTTTATTTGGGTGATTTTCAATATTATCATCAAAACGTTTATGAGGAAAAATATCAATTTAAAATAAATTGCTTTAATAGAATATCTTTTTTCTCTTTTGAATAGTTGAATTGTGAAATTATTGTGTAAAGATTCAAGAACTGGAACAAACTGGGCAAATATGAAGCGAGAGATGATAAAAATCAGACAGTTTTCCAAATTTAGAGTTGAGAGAGAAAAAGAGAAAGAATTAAAATTAAAATAGAAACTAATATTTATATACCCAGAAGTTTGGGGAATTTGAACAAACTGTTTAAACAGTATTTCCCATGGATGGGAAGAGATCTCTTGAAATTGCTTCAAGAAGAAGAAGAAAAAAAAAAAGTTAATTTCTATCAATTTTTTTCTTTCTAAGGAAAACATTTTGTGTCATAAGTTTCCCAAACTTTTCCATGTTTCATAAAATGATATCATACTGAACTTTTATAAATGAATAGAATACAAAAAATATATTAAAGTTATTTTCTTAATATAAAGAGTAAAAATCTGTTGTAAGTTCTTTTCACAAAATCAATGGAGAATTTATTTGAAATAGCAAATAATAAAATTGTTACAAAGTACAAAAGTGAAGCAAAAATGATGATCTTAAATCTTAATTCAAGCAGGCATATTAAACTTCATTGATTTCTACTATAATATTTCTCACACTTCACAAACAAATAAGTTAATAGTTCAACCTATTATTTCTTCTTATTATATGTAGATGTGTAGGCAGTGTAACATTTAATGGTGTGGAAAGTGTAATTCTGGTGAATTCAGTTTCATTTGCTCTTGGAAAAAGAGCCATGAATCTATGTTCTTCCATCTATAGGATGAATAGCAAGGCAGGCTGGGGTCTATAACCTTGGTTGGCAACCAGTCTAAGAGAAGGAAAACTGAATTCAAACTTGAGGAGGACGACTGTTTGGAGACTTCATAGTTCACTTTGCATCATTTCTTTTATCAGTTTTTCCAAAAGGATAGTGAACTCATTACAATCGTAATAACTAGTTAGACTAGGTTCTTAACCAAGTAATAATTTTATTTTCCTATAATTAGGTGCCTAACTGATAGGGAGTTTGGTAGTGAATTGATTGGTAATGAATTTATGATTTAGTAATGGTGCTGGTTGAATTAAATAGAGGAACATTTATCAGTAATAATAATTTTACATACCTCATCATTCTGTAAGTGAACTTCTTCTAATCTAGTTTTGATTTTATCGCATCGAGTGACCAAATCATCAAGAACCGCTTTCTGGGCACTGATATGACGAACCTAGAAAAAAAGAAATAAAAATTACATATATAATAATGTTTTTTTTTTCTTTTGAATATTTTGAAAGGCTGAAGAAAAAAAAAAATAAAAAATAAAAATAAAAACTTTATATGCAAGTGTTAACCCCCACCCCACCCAGTGCTCTATCCTATGTCTACCTATGTTGTTCCTAATTTTCATCAATGACCTACCTGATGGCTTCAGAACTGGACTCAGTATCTATGCTTATGACAATTATTTATTCCTATCTTAATAGTAAATCTTATTGATTTGAGAAGGTCAAAATTGGCAGCTAATTTCAAAAGTGACCTAAAATCTGCTTTTAACTGGGTTAAAGAGTGAAGTGCTTTTTGTTAATCAACTGAGACTACTTTCTGCCTTCCATCAGGATGGTTTATGCTAATCTCCAGGAGAGCGACTCCTTGTACCTTCTTGGGTTAATGTTCCCTGCTAAAGTGGGAAGATTATATTGAATCAATTGCTAGGTCGGCTGCTTTGAATATTGCTACCACATATAGTCTGGTACTCCTGCTATATATTTAGAGATTATTGATAAAATCCAAAGAAGAATATGCAATGTTATTGGTCCTGACCTGGCATCCTTGATTCAGTCACTTTCCCACTGCTGTAATGTAGCTTCCCTGTGCCTTTTCTATAAATACTTTCATGGTAATTGTTTGGATAAACTTTGCTCTATGGTACCTAGACTCTATGAATTTAAGTGCAGTATTAGATTGGCAATAAGGTCACATCAATTTACAATTGAATTAGCTATATAAGTTCTATGCTAACAGTTTCTACTCTTGAACTTCTCACTTGTGGAACTCTCTTCCAGTTCCATGCTTTCGAGCCAACTTTGATCTTCAAAAATTCACATGCAATGTTAATCATTATCTACTGTCTTCTTGATTCCTGTTTTATTGTTCTCGCTCCTTAATAATGTTTTTCTTTTCCCTATTCTTTCACACTTGGTAACCCCTTGTGTCTTAGTGACATTATTGCCCTGCTTGGGGTGAAATTAAGAAAAAAATAATAAATATGTAGCTAGTTGGACCAACAGTGTTTTGACAAGTTTATTCATTATCTCATATCTCTGCTCTTCTATCACCCCTTGCCTGTATCTTCTTGTTTCCTCCCTTATCCTTTCTAATCTTCATTGCAAATCAATCTTTTTATCTAAATGTTACACACTGATAAATTTCATAAGTGCAAAGGGGTGGAGGAGAAATAACAAATATTTTCTCCCGATTCCTGCATATTTCTTTTCCTTTTCAAATAGAATAAATAAATAGCAGTTATAAGCAGACAAGTAGACTATGACTCGCATGTCCTTAATGCACATCGCATTTTAAAAAGAAATACACAGAGTAATAGAGATGAGTATTAAGTGATTCACTTGGACATTTTTAGATCAACTGTTTCATTCTACTACTCAGAAATAGTGAATTTGTATTTTGTCATATATTGAACATTATTTCTTGCAAAATAAGCAATCCAATATACACACATCAGGATGGATGAGTTTATAGTCTGACAGTTATGAGCTGAATTTGGATCTGGAGTGTTCAATGGATAATGTTATGTCTACATGATTGATATTCATTACTTAATTAAGTGCATTGACAACAAAGATTATGTTAAAAATATTTGTTGTATAAAATAAATGCTTTTTCATTGTAAGGCTATTTATTTAACGATTTAATTATATTGTTTAAAATGTCTTATAATTTATGGAAGAAGAGTGCTTAATATTAGGAGTAGAGCATTTGTAAATATAAATTGTGCTGACAGGAATCAACACTGTAAGGAGACAATCATCAGATCTATAGGTATAAAATTGATAACTATATATATGTGCACATATACACATCTATTCCCTCACACACACATACTCATATGCCCATACATGTGTTTTAATATACAAGAACAATTCAGATACTGAATTCAATGGGCTACAAAACTCATTTAAAAATTCTAAATATTAGACTGCATCTGATATGTAGGTATTATAGATGGTAAGTTGATCAATGAAGACTCAAGTTGCACAATAAATTGTTAATATTTACTAGAATTCAAAGCTTAAACAGATCTTATATATACAGACTAATTATCTATTAAAACAAAAAACAGTTACTATGGTACATGTGTGTGTATACTGCATATACTCATGTACAAGTTCATGTATAGTGAGACTCCTGAAATTTTTCATTAATTTAAACCCCTCAGAAAAAAAATTACCTGTGTATAGTGTAACTGGTCCCTGAAAATGCATATTTTTAACCTTTTAAAAAAAAAAAAAAATTACCTGTGTTTAGTGCAACACACTACTTTTTGTGTCAAAAACTGATCATAAATACTTGCACTATACTTGAGTAGATATGGTATTAGCTGTATAACCCATCTTCGACTGGGTCTTTCATTACTGGGAATTTTTGCGATTCAATTGGAGCAGTTTAAGTTTAAAGTCAGCCCACCCGAAAATCAATAGTAGTAACAACAATTGGGTGCAATTGAGGCACATCTCCAAATGGGGGGATTAACAATTTGAATGGGGGGGGGGGGGCTGAAAAGGGAACTGTATAATAATAAATAATATTATTGCAATAATTTAAACTGTTTATTTTTATTAAAGTTTTTATGAAAGATATATATCCAAGAACAGATAGTAAATAGTATTTGTTTGTTTGTTTGTTTAAAACTTAACGACCCATCGATCAGCAAGAGATCATTTAAGGTCAAACAGTTGGTTTTTTTCTTTTTCTTTAAATAAGGTTAGTAAATAGTAAAATGTTGCTGGGAGTTATAATGGACAGGAAGTAGTGGAGAGCCATTGTCGCCAACAATTTGGACTCAAAACCGGCACTGAAGAATTATCTTTCAAACAAAAAAAAAAAATCGGATGAAAACTGTGGAAATACATAAACAACATCTGATCACACACACTTTGATAATTATAGATATAAGAGAAAGATTGTATCTACAATTATCAAAATATGGTGAGAGAAAATATAGCCAACCATACATGGGAAGAGAAAATTTAGAGCATTGGATTGAGTGACTTGTCTTTACCTCATCACCCTTATAGGGCTGATATTCAAACTTCTTGGGCAACATGAATACTGAATTATACAATTCCATAAATTTCTGTTTATCTGCACGAGCATCAAGGCCTTGAATACATTGGTTGAGTCTGTCAATGGCTCTTTGGTGAGAATTCCTTAACTGTTCATGGGACGAAAGATACATTTTCATGGTCCGGGCAACACAATTATGATAGCCAAAATCCATACACTGCAATAAAAATTGAAAAGAAAATATTATTTTCATTATACAATAATTACTCATTTGGCAAAATAGTTAACAAATAGAGAAAATGAAATCAGCAGGCAGAGTTCAAATTCACTTGGTACTAATGCTTTTGGAAAAGGCATGAGTCAATCTCTATTCTCCCTAATATGGGTAAAATAGCAAGGCAGACTGTGGTTTATAGACTTAGTTGGGCAACCAATTTAAAAGAATAGTAATTCTGAAATCAAACTGTAAGGAACCCAATGAGAAGTTATTCCACTACTTTTCTAAAAACAATCATGTTTACACACATCCTGAAGGGAGATGATTTAGAAGAGAGAGATAAAAGAAAAGGTTTAAGTATCTATCAACTATCTTGGCTCACTACTTGATTTATCTATCAACTATCTTGGCTCACTACTTGATTTATCTATCAACTATCTTGGATCACTACTTGATTTATCTATCAACTATCTTGGATCACTACTTGATTTATCTATCAACTATCTTGGATCACTACTTGATTTATCTATCAACTATCTTGGATCACTACTTGATTTATCTATCAACTATCTTGGATCACTACTTGATTTATCTATCAACTATCTTGGATCACTACTTGATTTATCTATCAACTATCTTGGATCACTACTTGATTTATCTATCAACTATCTTGGATCACTACTTGATTTATCTATCAACTATCTTGGATCACTACTTGATTTATCTATCAACTATCTTGGATCACTACTTGATTTATCTATCAACTATCTTGGATCACTACTTGATTTATCTATCAACTATCTTGGATCACTACTTGATTTATCTATCAACTATCTTGGATCACTACTTGATTTATCTATCAACTATCTTGGATCACTACTTGATTTATCTATCAACTATCTTGGATCACTCTTGATTTATCTATCAACTATCTTGGATCACTACTTGATTTATCTATCAACTATCTTGGATCACTACTTGATTTATCTATCAACTATCTTGGATCACTACTTGATTTATCTATCAACTATCTTGGATCACTACTTGATTTATCTATCAACTATCTTGGATCACTACTTGATTTATCTATCAACTATCTTGGATCACTACTTGATTTATCTATCAACTATCTTGGATCACTACTTGATTTATCTATCAACTATCTTGGATCACTACTTGATTTATCTATCAACTATCTTGGATCACTACTTGATTTATCTATCAACTATCTTGGATCACTACTTGATTTATCTATCAACTATCTTGGATCACTACTTGATTTATCTATCAACTATCTTGGATCACTACTTGATTTATCTATCAACTATCTTGGATCACTACTTGATTTATCTATCAACTATCTTGGATCACTACTTGATTTATCTATCAACTATCTTGGATCACTACTTGATTTATCTATCAACTATCTTGGCTCACTACTTGATTTATCTATCAACTATCTTGGCTCACTACTTGATTTATCTATCAACTATCTTGGCTCACTACTTGATTTATCTATCAACTATCTTGGCTCACTACTTGATTTATCTATCAACTATCTTGGCTCACTACTTGATTTTTCTATCAACTATCTTGGCTCACTACTTGATTTATCTATCAACTATCTTGGCTCACTACTTGATTTATCTATCAACTATCTTGGCTCACTACTTGATTTATCTATCAACTATCTTGGATCACTACTTGATTTATCTATCAACTATCTTGGATCACTACTTGATTTATCTATCAACTATCTTGGATCACTACTTGATTTATCTATCAACTATCTTGGATCACTACTTGATTTATCTATCAACTATCTTGGATCACTACTTGATTTATCTATCAACTATCTTGGATCACTACTTGATTTATCTATCAACTATCTTGGATCACTACTTGATTTATCTATCAACTATCTTGGATCACTACTTGATTTATCTATCAACTATCTTGGATCACTACTTGATTTATCTATCAACTATCTTGGATCACTACTTGATTTATCTATCAACTATCTTGGATCACTACTTGATTTATCTATCAACTATCTTGGATCACTACTTGATTTATCTATCAACTATCTTGGATCACTACTTGATTTATCTATCAACTATCTTGGATCACTACTTGATTTATCTATCAACTATCTTGGATCACTACTTGATTTATCTATCAACTATCTTGGATCACTACTTGATTTATCTATCAACTATCTTGGATCACTACTTGATTTATCTATCAACTATCTTGGATCACTACTTGATTTATCTATCAACTATCTTGGATCACTACTTGATTTATCTATCAACTATCTTGGATCACTACTTGATTTATCTATCAACTATCTTGGATCACTACTTGATTTATCTATCAACTATCTTGGATCACTACTTGATTTATCTATCAACTATCTTGGATCACTACTTGATTTATCTATCAACTATCTTGGATCACTACTTGATTTATCTATCAACTATCTTGGATCACTACTTGATTTATCTATCAACTATCTTGGATCACTACTTGATTTATCTATCAACTATCTTGGATCACTACTTGATTTATCTATCAACTATCTTGGATCACTACTTGATTTATCTATCAACTATCTTGGATCACTACTTGATTTATCTATAAACAATCTTGGAACACTACTTGATTTATCTATAAACAATCTTGGAACACTACTTGATTTATCTATAAACAATCTTGGAACACTATTTGATTTATCTATAAACAATCTTGGAACACTATTTGATTTATCTATAAACAATCTTGGAACACTATTTGATTCACTGCTAGAGTAAAAGTCAGAACAAAGAAATTACTTACAAGATATGACAACTGCTTCCTTGTGGTTAAATAGACTTAAATAAAACTTCTAAAAATCAGATAAAAACTATCCATGTGTGTCATGTATATTATAATACAAAATATTTTTAATGTCATTTTTGTAAGGTTTTAGAACTTAGCCATTGAACCATAAGAGCTGATTGCTATCTCAGGACAGTATTGGGTAAATGTCATTATTTCAGAATTGACCATGTAATACCAATTTTTTTTAAAATAATGTTTCTGGTCTTCAAGTAAAATTTAAAAAAAAAATTGATAAAAAAACTAAGACAAATAGTTTATGAGATCAGGTTTTTTAATATTGCATAGATTATTTGAAAAAAAAAAAAAAAAAAATTCAGCCATGTGGTTAAGAAACCTTGCCTACCTGTATTGAACTATTGACCTATAGAGCTGACTGGTTAATACTCTAACCACTGAGTTATTATATAAAGCAATAATAGAAAACCAGCACAAATAATAACCCATTTTCAATACCAAATTTGACATGTACTGCAGATGTAATTATTTCTTTTATGCAATTATTATAATATTGGCAAAAATGCCAACATTTATATTTGTAACACTTTGGAAATGATTTGATGAACTCAAATTGCACAGAGCAACCAATAAATGTCTGAGTGACAGGTCCTTTAAATAAAATTGTGATGTTTTCATTGTGGATGACCCCTGTGATATTTGGTTGACCTTTTGTATGTCTAAACACAGTGACAATTTCTTCAATGCAACATCAGAGTGGCCATGAGTGGCAAAAAGGTGATATTTGCCAGGCCAAGATAAACATCTTCATTGCCATTTCAAGCCCATGACATCCCCCAAAAGTAAATTAGAACAGAATCCCGGCTAGAAAGCTACTTTATATTTTGCTTGAAATCTTCAAACATAACAAGTTTGTGTGTCTTCATGTGTATACCTGTATAGATTTGTGTGTGTGTGTGTGTGCGCATGCCTGCCTGTGTAATTCTGTGTATGCATACATAGATTTGTCTGTGTGTAAGTGTAGGTAGATTTCACAAATATTCGGTTGTTCTAAGAGATTTATTTCTTAGAAAAACAAAAGATCTAACTCTGGAATCTTGCCAAATTCACTTTCTCATGTTTTAGTCTCATTATATCCACAAACAGATAATGTCTTTAATTAATAGCACTTAGAAAACCATTATTGCCTATTACAAGGACTAATTAAAGAAAAAAAAAGATATTTGATTTATTTATTATCCAACAGGGATTATTTTTTTCAACGAGAGTGCTGGCCTTTAATTACAATTAATCAAATAAAAAGAATGTCACAAAAACTATTAATGACTGCCACCACTTCAAACTAAAGAAACCATTTTTTTACATTTTAATAAAAGAATATTACCTATAGTGTTAATTAAAATTAATGGAATAACAATTGGATATTTTTGTACAGAAGATATTTTTTGTATGCAATTCACATAATTGTATACTCTTTTTGTAAAACAGAGAGAGAGAGAAGAAAAAGAAGATATTTGGATCTTGTATATAATGTGATCCCCAATTTTTTTCCATGGAAAGTAAAATGATCAAATTTTTGGTTTTGGCAATCTATTGTCAATATATTTAAAATTAGTTTGGCAGCCATTATATCTTGATATCTTTGACTGATCTAAAGAAAGCAAAGATTGATTTTTCTCTTTCCTTTTTAATTCTTATATTCTGACAAATATAAAAATAACACCAAGTTGTTAAAATATATATATGGGAACTCAAGATGGAAGAGAAAATTCCATCGGTAGAATGGTATATAATAAAAAGAAAGATAAAGAGAAACAGAGACAGAAGTTGAAATCTAGGTATGGAGGAGAAACTGTAAATTAGAGTTTAAGAACAAGAATAATTTAATAAATAAAAGGAGTAAAATTATTTTGAACTATTGAAAAATGTGAAAAGACAAATAAATCTTGGGAGTATTCAAAATAAACAGGCACCCATTTTGTAGA